TWAMAYWRRARRMMAARRAATSGTTGYTGMAGCAAKAAATCGAAACCGAATAATGCAGTAYGATCGACTTGATTCAATCTGATTCGAMTCGATTCGATTTACTGCGACTTCAWTCGACTATTAATTCGACTTGAACTGAYTAGATTCAACTTAATTTTTGCACTTSATTCAATTCCCTCCGACTCGATTCGACTTGAACCGACTCAGTTCGACACGATTCGACTTACTTTTTGTACGATTTTCATATCTTCATTATCGATGCTATTATTGGTRGCTGTGAGCCATTTGGCCATYTTGAGCACAACTTCTTTGACTTCYACTTTTTTCTCTGGTTCGCCAGCCAGTCGYTCGCCTTCTTTTTGAGTTGAYCCRATCAATAATATTGTATTGYTGAGATGATCAGACCATTCAGTGCCGATCAGTTCAGCTAGTCGTATCCAGTCGTTATCTTGTACCATATCACCACCATGGAGGATGGAGTCTAGTTTATTACTCCTGGAAACGGACAATAACCTTAGTAAAGTCTCTTACAACAATGTTTCAAGCCATGAGGACTGACCCCAATATAACGAACACTGACCCCGATATTACGGACACATAAATAAATCCCTTCGTTAAAGAGATCATTGAAAATAGGTCCTTTTAAAGTGGCTACAATCAACTCCCGACTTGTGGTCGTCACAATATTACGGTCACCCCGTTATTACGGACACATAATAAATCCCTTCGTTAAAGAGATCACTGAAAAATAAGTCCTTTTATAGCAGAAAAGTACTTGCTACAATCAACTCCCGACTTGCGGACATCCCAATAATACGGACACCCCGATATTACGGACACACATATAAATCCCTTCGGTACAGAGATCATTGAAAATAACTTCTTACAGCGGTCACATACTCGCTACAATCAACTCCCGACTTTCGGACACCCCAATATTACGGTCACCCCGATATTACGGACACATAAATAAGCCCCCATGCTAAATAGAYTACTGGAAACATCACCCGTTATAACGGACAATCGTTACAGTAAACTATCACTTTCTGCTCCCCGWYCCCCCCCCTCCCCCCTCTTAATATTACGTACATATAAACACACCCCGATATTGCAGAAAACCTAATATTAAGATATTCCCTTACCATGTTTCAATAGGATTAACCAAATCAATGATTCCTTTAGCAACACCGTTTTCTCCTATCGTTCTGACGTGAAATTGTTGATGGAGTAAATCAACCTCTTGGTTTAATGACTGCATCTCACCATGCTGTGGCCAGCGGTCACCACTCGGAGTTAGATGTCGACCAAACACCTAGAAAATGTACATGAACTTAGATAGTCTCCTTTACAACCTCCCCTTTTGTTGGGCTTCCTGTCCCGACAAAAGGGGAGTCTGTGAAGGAGACTAGAACATAGATAATTATCATACAATAGTGCGCGCCTGTTTATACGGCGGTAATGATGAAACAAAAATGAAACAGCGGCTGGTTTTCCCAATCTCGAACTCAGAGCCTGATCGTTTTCCGTCCAGGGAAATGCCATCAGACTTTGACGAGCCAACAGACGGCTGACAGAAAGGCGAAAAGTCTCTAGGTTCGATATGCTGCATTCCTAATACATATAAACGAAGACAAAACCTGCGCTGCTCTGCTCCCTGTCAGAAAAAATTCCCCGTGATTTTTTTTTTTTCAGATATGACCATGCATGCGCGGGGAGGGATCAATGTTTCRCGGAATTTGTTTTGGGATACCTGTTTGAAGATTGTGGACGCACTCACGCATGCTCATATCAGAAAGGATGACCCGAGGGTGTTAACGGGTGAATGGGGTGAAGGAGGGGTTAAGATTCAGGGGGGTAATGCATGTACCTTCATGGCAACATCAGTCCATTTATCAACTTGTTTGTTCATCTTGTTCAGTTCATCTTCGCGTGACAAYAAGACTTCACCAGTAAACCTTTCTGCTTCCTCGTTGAACGTTTCTTCCCATGATTTGAGGTCTTGGTGTAATTTRGTGATGAATTGACGGGTTGGCGGGGTGACGCTTCCAATATCATAGCTATAAATATGAAATAATATGATTTCATTGCTATGGAAAGAACCCGGAACATTTAAACTAAAGAACAGGAATACATACTTGATGATTTTCTCGAATTCTGGTTTCCACTTGGATAGCTGATCAATCAACCTTTTAAGCTATAAGATACCAAGGAATTTATATGATTAAATTGATACTAGGCACTGATCAACGTAAAAAATGCCATAGAGCTGTTCACCATAATAATCATTATAAGAATGGTCATTATGTCCAGAACCCAAGGTACATGTAGTGGTGAAAGGGGACTATTTGAAGCGATCGCAAAGGACTTCAGATCGCGCTGATCCGCCTCTGCGTCTAAGTTTCCCAGGAAGTTTCAATACTTAAGACTGGGCCATCTATTAAGACTGAGCCATCTATTATTACACGAAGTCCATCGTACAGTATACTATCCAGGTGGAGAAATACACTGTACATTTTCTGTACCTTTTTTCGCGTTTGATCTTCGGATTCTTCCAGTTGTTTGTTAAACTGGTCGGCTTTTTCCCGCCAAAACTGCACGTGTCGCGTCAATAATTCGAGCTGTACATATAAAACGATTAGTTAGACTGATCGCACTGTACAACTGTACAACTGTGCAACTGTACAAACTAAATAGTGATATTTAGTTGTATTTAGTAAATCGTGCACGCGGTACGCAAATTAAATTGAATTGATACAAATGAAGCGAAACGAGGAACAATACAATCCCTAGTAGTAGYACAAATCCAAAATATAACAAATAAAATATTTGGTACGCAATCGTTCTTTGATTTAGATGCATAAAAACATAAACATCTATATAATGTAAGTAGAATGAAATAGAACAAAACACCAACTTGAAGCTATAAAAACTCTGTTTATTGGACGTTTCGGCACTTCGGCCTTCTTCAGCAAATAATGTATATATGAGAGAGTGGTCATTCAATGAACGAACCTGAATGCTATCATTCTCACTCAAGAAGATAGCAAAGTGTCTAGTCAGCCTTGCCCATGCTTTCTCGCACAGGTGTAGTTTCTTGGCTGTGTTCAGGGAGTGTCTGTCGGTGACTTTCATAGCAAGAGTATAGGCAGCACTTCCCCACAAATCACGCTCTTCAGTAAGCTTGCCTTGAATCAAAAACATGTGAAAAGATAAGTTTGTAGAAATGAATACATGGGATGGCATGACATGACGTGGGATTGCATGGGATGTAATTGACCGATCCCGATTCATTGTCCTACGTCCCTAGTTCCCTAGTTACTGTTGCTACGTCGGACAAGCGGAAATATTCCTTTGATATAGAGCATTGGAAAAGATACCGATWGCTGTGATCAGGAAAAGCTAATGTATTTACTAAAAATATTCGATTTTGTGTTTGTTGCTCAATGTTTGGTGATTAATCTATGTGAAGAAGGGTGAATGGCATGGGATGGGATGGGATARAATAGAATGGTCAGAATAAAAACAGAAGAGAATACAATAGAATGAAATTGAGAACAGGATTGAATGGAATTGCAAATGGAATAGAATAGAATAGAACACAATTGTAAGAATCAACTGGGATAAAATGGCAACGAAATCCACCTACCAACTTGTGTTTCAAGTCTTTTTCTCTGCAGTTCATACAAATCATGATATTCTGCTAACAAACTAAAGTAAAACACACAGTCAATAAAATTACGATAAACTTTTTTAATGGTAAACAGAGGTTATAGTACCTTGCATTTTTGTCAGATTCCAGCAACGCCTCTTCAAGCTAGTGAAAAAAAAAATCACACAATGATATTTTGCATGATGGTAAACACGATTAAAAGTATAGAATTAAATCATTGATAGTAGACGTTTTGTATTCAAACTTTTCCAATTGCATTAAACATCCTAGCATACAGTATATTCAATTATAGAACAAAAGGATTGGATTTTTCACCTCTTTTTGAGCTTCAACAGCTTGTTTGGTAACTTCTCGATCGTGTGCTTTGACTGACGCAAGTTCACTGCATTAGAAAGAATATGGTTGATTATTTCTAAGTGCAATCATTTTTTTATATTTTATTATTATTTTTGGATGCAATAATCAAAATCGATGTAAAATGACAATAATATTACCTTGTGAGTGCGCTAATGGAAGCTTTGAACCTTACAAGTTCTTCCGTCAACCGTCTAAAACAATTATCAATCATATATTCAATGAATGAAAGGTTCAATAATTTAAAAGATGGATAGATGGAAGAATGAGTAAATGAATGAAAAAATAAATGAATGGATGAATGAATGAAAGGATGGATGGATGGATAAATGATCAGATGGATGACCATGCAAGTAAATGAACAAATGAATAGAAGGACGACATAACATGAAAAATATTTGATAAATAAAAGTAAGAAATGAAAAGACAACAATTGAAAAATAAATTAATGCATTCACGAATGAATAACATGAAGTACTGAGAAATTATAAAGTTAAGACATTGATATCAGTTCTCATCAAACAACATACCTGTCCAGTGCTCTTTGTGCAATGACTTCTTGGTGCAAGCTAGAAAACAGAAAAGTTCAATTAGACTTAAATTGTTCAGCTACAGATAAAATGATTATAATCAGTAGTAGAATGATGACCTACCTTTTGACTTGCCGTGGTATTCKATCAAGTAGATAGCTGTACCTCTTCCTGATGTTGGCCAGCAGTTCACCCCTTTCAGCACACTCTACAGTTACCTGCCATAKTATGAATATTAGTCACTAATGATAGTATTACTAAACAGAACAAACAGTAATCCATGAGCCGATATAGGCAGCCTTTCGAGAGGAGAGATGTTTAAACTAGTACATGTATTTCAAGAGAAAATCAAAAACACACAAAACTTGATCTCTCAGTTCATCTGAGAGAAACATCCAGGAAATTAGCATAAATAACACAGGGAGCCCATCTAAAGGATAGGACAATGAATATGTTAGCACTACAGTACATACCTGTCTTATGATCTCATTGAAGCACACGTTGTAGATATTCTGCTCTTTCTTGACAAGTTCAAGAAGGTTGTGGATCTAGGTACACAAGAGTTGATGATTAAATCAACACCATAAACCAATGATACCATACAATCATAAATTATAACAAGAAAGCAACAATAGTATCAGCAACAGTGACAACAACAAAGGCATCATCATCAACAACTGAAGCAATTACAACAAAATTTACAAGAAATGCAACAACAGCAGCAACAATCACAACAACAACAATCAGCAACAAAAACAGCAAAAACACTCTCATTCTCAGCAGCAATAACAACAAAAGTTGCAACAAAAGCAACAACACCAGCTACAATGAACACCATCAGCAACAATAATTACAGCAAAAACACTTCTCATTCTAAGTGGTCCCAGTACCAACAACAGCAATAACAACAAAAGTTGCAAGAAAGGGAACAAGAGCAGCAACAATGACAACAACATCAGCAACAACAACATCATTCTCAGTGTTTGCAGTACCTGTGTGGGACCAGTAAGTTCCTTGTCATTATCGTCCACTCCTGCACGGGTTAAGAGGGAGTCCATTGTATGCTAATAGAGAGAATCACAAAGCAATTGAGTCATTATCTCTATCAATTTAAAAACTTGATAAACAATGAAATAATGTTATCAACCTGGTAAGGTATAGAATAAAGGCAAAATCACCACTACTGCCACAAATGACATGGTACCTGAATTGCTTAATTCTCACTGGATATGAGAGAAAGATTATGTGAAAGAGGGTTTTTACTGGTAAGGGAGTTATTTTCAACAATTGTTTGAAGGTGTTTGTAATCAAGTGTTGTCCATAATATTGCCCACAAGGAGTTGACTGGTATGAAATGAAAGTTGTACAAYGAATATTATCAAAATCACTACCTTGAGCTTCAATACTTCTCCTCTTCCTGATGGCTTCCTGCCAAGAAACACCAACACATTGTTATAATCTTGATAAGCAATGGCGATGCAGTCAAATAGTGCTGATTAACTTAGCTGCAGTGCAAAATATGATGTGAAACTAGCTATTATAGTCTCCTTGACTGTTTGCATTATGAAAGGCTGTGTAAAGTGATGTGTTTTTGCAATGAAGCAAGTCAACTGATGAACAATAAATGCAATGAAAGAAACTTTCTTTCACACCAATACACAATTCCTTACARGTATCTATTATTGCAAGCTCATTGGTAAATTCACTTTGCTATAGAGGGAGATCAACTACCTTTGAAACTTAAGAAAAGACTAGGATACCTTTCTTACTTACATTGAAGGAAAGATAGTCAAATGTTCTTCATGGACTTGAACATGAGTAGTATATTTACTATAGAGGAAAGATGTTTTTTTTTAGAATTAATATTTCTGGAATATCACTTCCACTGACTGAAAATAGCACTGATATCATTACAAAATACAAATAAGTCTTACTCATCATGAAACTCCAGTCCAAGAACACCAGGGTTTTTCACAATGTGGTATTCTCCAGGAATAAGAGTATCAGGGATTAAACTTGATTCTTCTTGTTTCTAAGGAAACAAATATTTTATAACAGGTACTTAAATAAGTTTCTTTTTTTTTCTCTCAGAAAAATATTTTATGATTTAATGGTAATTGTTTGAGAAAATAGTCCATGTAGTCAAGTAGCAAGACTGTGAGTGTGTTCCCCCTGGAAGATCATTTTATTGTGAAGGGAYAATGACTCTTGATATAGATCAAGTAACAGTAATTGGGGGGAAGGGAGCTACAGTAGACACATGTACACTGTAATTCATTTTCAGTCAATATGAAGCCAAATTATTGTAAACAAGCTAAAGCCTTGTCTATTGCTTAGTACCTTATCATCTTCTTGTCCAACCATTTTATCATGTTTCTTGCTATCATCGCCTTCAAGCTCACRTATTTGTTTTTGTACAGATGCAGGTATCTTGGCAACTGCTTTGGTATCTGGTGGAGTTGCTTGTTCTTTACATGTGTGATTGACAGCGTCATATAGAAATGATATATCTCTGAAACARCAGGAAACCAATTATTGGACCAGASAGCAAAATCACAGAAAAGAGAAAAATTAAAAAAGACAGACAATTTGTTTAAGATATTATACTTTTCAAATATATTTATTTATCGTTGGTTTAAYAAAGTAMAGACACCATATGATKTTTACCTTCCAGCCCCGCACAGACAAGGAGGCTGTTCTGTCAAATGTTTGAGTTTTTCTCTTCCCTTAGGGTAGTTCCACACATTGGCGGGTCTTCTTCTCGCTGGTGGGCCAGCTACCCCATTCTATTAGTGAAACAATCAAATAGCTACAGTCATTTTTACAACAGATGCAGTTATTTCAAAAACTTTTGGAAATAAATTCAGAAAAATTTCACCCTGACCAGCTTCCAGTCTGACCTAGTAGATTAGCTGATTGGGCATTGGTCAGTACAAATCCTAAAGGTCATGGGTTCGAATCCCAAACAAGGAAATTAGAAATTAATCTAATTAATTTTCCTGACTATTTCATTTATTGTGCTATCTGCTTRTATATGAATAATGATATCGAGAATAAAAAGCAACTATCAAATAAGCTGATTCAATTAAGTACCATTGTTTTGAACAAATAATAAACCCTGATATTGTTGAACTTAGTTCTTTGAACACATGTGTTTGTACACATGTGTTTGTACATTTTATACTTTTTGTTATTAACACCTACCAATTAAGTTTATTTAATTTATCAATAAACATTAGAAATAATAGAAACATCCTTGATAGTTACTCAGGAAAAGTCCATGATAGCGACTTAGAAAAAGTCCAGGATAGTTAACTAGGAAATCTCACAAAACAACCTCACCTCAATAGGCTTKAGTTTTTTATGCTTCGAAGATGGACCATTCTCTCTTGTAGGAGGAGATGGAACGTGTGTTAAACTGTTCAAAATATCTAAAGGAATAAAGTCATTTGTTGAAGTTAAAAATGTGTCATTTCGCTCAATCCCATCAAAGGCTTCGTTCTGTGGTTTTTCAAATCTCTCTATGGCAGATTCTTGTGTATTGCCTTTCCCATCCAGAATTGGCAAAACGCATGGTGTTTGAGGGTTTGTTGAAGTAAGTCTTCGAGGAGTTTTACTCAATGTTTCTTCTTTGACTGGAGACGTTGTTAGAGCTACTGTACTCATAGTTGTAATAAATTTGTAGACAAACTCGTCGAGAAGGAATCAGCTTTTTTTCGGTAAGTTATCGCAAAATGTAGCACGAAATTATTTTCATGAACTCATTTAGACGGATATTTCATCAATGTGTTGTTTTTAGATTGTTTAGACTGTAGTTGTAATGTAAAAGAAAGCCAAAAAGTCATCAAACGTCCTTTTGTCAATATTCTTGTCCGCCATTTTGAGTGGTGTTGTGGGACTGGTGGTTGTCATGGATACATCTTCAACAGGAAACCCAATAGTCCTTTTTAAAAAGATTTACTGGAGAAAAACCGACARATGTCGGGAAATCGTTTAAAAAAATGCTTTTAAACCATTATTTTAAAGGACTAAAATTGTCAGTTTTTCGAAAATATAATTTATTGATTAAATTTATTGATTATGAACGCAGGAAGCTTGCCTGGAAGGATTTCTTATCGCTAACTGACTTGAAAACTGAAATCATTATTATACATATGACTGACGTTTTAGACATTGACGACTTGATCGGTTGAAAGGAAAAGTTTATACATCCTTAACTTTGATAAATATTCGTTCTCAAACAATCTTTTTAGCTGTCTATTTGGTTTAATAAAATTATGACGCAGGGGGCCTAGGCTGTCATTTTCACATGTGTTCAAAACTGTCGCAGTCTTTCGAGTTTTAAAACTTTTAATATTTAGTCTCATTGAATGTTTAATTCCTTTTCTTGTTTTCTTAATCACGATTCATAGTTTCAATACGTTCCCTTGGCATTAAGCACCTGTCAAAGAAAACAAACAAACAACTATGAATTTAAATGTGAAAAGACAAATTGTGTTAATTTTCCATTTGGTCAATAGCCAGCGAAGTACTGGCAATCAATATACCCTCCCTTCGCTGTTTCAATTCAGTATTCAACTGCGTCATTTTATCTCTACGACTACACTTTTCTCAGCTAAAAAGCACGTAAGCTGGGTTTTTTTACATCATCATGCCGTTTCAGAAGAAATTGAAGCTGTTTCTCTCTTTATTTGCTGGTGTTTTATCAACAATTCTTGAGGTTATGGGTAAGTTGCATTAATATTCGATTTGTTTTGCTGTATTTCGGAATCAAGTGAGCTAAAAATTAGATTATGATTGTGAAGAAATTGGTGCCCAATATGGCTTATATAACTGCTTAAAAAGTATATATTTCTGAAATTTTTTCTTTAATTAATATTTGCTGGATTATTTTGTTTACTTTATCTTATTGTTGCGTATAATTTTGTTGGTTTATACTYATTCGGATGTTTCCTTTTTCTTACACGTCAGATTTTTCCTTCTCTCTCTTAGTTTCTCCTCAATTCTTGCCATTTTTTTAATRTTTACTTATTCTTCATCCTTTTTATAGTTTTATTTCTAGACTATCTTTTTGTCGTTTTATCATCGGAAAAGTCAATTAAGAGTTTCTTCTCTACATTACGTTTTTTTTTTTTGACTTCACTTCCCGCCATCGTTTTCTTCTCCTTCTAGAAATATCTTTAAAACTCCTTTTTTTTATCCTCTTCAGGTCTATTTTTTTTACAATTCATATTCCGCTTCTTCTAGCTAACCCGCCTTTTTATGATATTACTTTTTCCCTAAGACTTATATACTTTATTAAAAACTAAGTTTAATGGCCATCATTATACGTTTATATATTACAAATTGTCAAAGTGAAAATTTTTAATAGTTTATAGTGTACAAGATGTACATATTAAATAAAGGAACTTAATTATGAAGTGTTAATTTTTTACTTATTGAAAGTTTAATGTTTTTTCTGTATGCATTGAATTCGTAGCAATTTACAAGCGATATTGTTATGCAGATGTACAATAAACGGAAAGTCGATGGGGAATTTTATTAATTGAAATAGGAAAACGATTTATTAAAAATTTATCATTTTTTCTCATAAAATCTATAAAAAAAATTCTATTTTCCTCTTGTTATCAGGTGTTCAGCATCAATGTGCCATTTATCCATCAATATGTCATAAAGATGGACTMCACTTTCCAAATCATACCCTTAGTTCGTTCATCGCTGACCAAGAACTCGTTTGTCATCTCAAATGCAATCTAGATACCAAATGTAAATCTTACAATTACAAAATTGGTCTCTGCCAATTAAACGATGCTGAGTTTTCACACCCGAGTCAACTTAAAAAGAAAGCAGGATTTGTGTACGTTGGTGTCAAGGTAARTGGTGCCTCTTTTAAGAAAAATAAAGATATTCTTTAGGATACTTGAGTTCTATAGATACGATTCGCACTATGACATAAGCACAAACAGAAGATTGGTCACACTAGATGATATTATTATTCTGAGCGCGAACTGTGACATTGCACATTGCAAGGCAATGGAGAGAAAAGAAACGCTAGTATTACTTATTTGGCGAGAAAAATGTTATCTTTCGCAATGTTTCGTTTCATATTTAGSAGGCGTTTCTTACTTGTTTCAGTTTTTTTTTCAATTTTGTTCTAAACTTATTGATTTTAACCATGAATGATCATGAATGACTCTACTTTTATAAATGTTTTCGTTTCTCCATTCTATAGGGACCTTGCAAGGATTCTTTACCAACAGTTAATGGTAGGCATWTACAAATATACAACATCGTTGGTTTTGTAATTMAAWAAAAAMAMWTWSWTWKATRKAWRSAAMMARYAAKAWAYWYA